ACAAAGATGCTATTAAAATTCATTAGATACCTTGCAAAAAACATTTAACTGAAGTCTAATTAAGACTCTAGACTTAAGTTCAAGGAAATATGAAGTAAAATCAATGCAGTGTATCATTAGGAAACAGATAAAACTGAATATGATACATTCCATAAGAGAACTGGCCTTCCGAAACAAAATAAAAAGCAAAACAGCTAATGAAAACATTTTGGGGATGCCTGGGGAAATCTGCATGTGGCCAACACAGTCATGATATTTAGCAAATACTATTAATTTTTTAGGTGTGATTATGGTATTGTGGTTATATAGGAGGATGTCTTTATTTTTAAGATGCATAATGAAATATTTAGGGATGAAAGTCATGATATCTGCAACTTATTTGCAAATGGGTCAGCAAAAGCTACATACTCACCTATGCACACATACTGATATATGGCAAAATGTTAAAAGTTACTAAATCTAGATGGTTGGTACGCAGAACAGCATGATATTGTTTTTAGTCTTTTCTGTATATAATTTTTTTCATAAAAAATTGGAAAAATCAGAGGGGAAAACATTATATATTCAATAAGGATGCTGAGAAAATGGAATGTCCTTATAAAAATTAATTTCCTAATTCACATTTTGGAAGAAAATAAGAAAAAAGTATGCAATATATTTAGAAGGAAAAAATCCCTATTTTGTTGGATTAAGGAAGTATTTCTTAAATAAGGCACATGGCATAATTCATGAGAGAAATACTGGTAAATTTGATTTCACTAAATTAAAGACACATATAAATAAAAGGCACCAAAACAAAGTAAAAAGAAAAGTCAGGGAGACTAGTTAGTATAACTCAGAAAAATTATTATCTCAGAAATATAAGGAACTCACGTCTATCAGTAAAAAATATGGGCAGAAAAATGTGTGCACTCTATTAGAAAAATTCACCCTCAAAGAAGCTCAAACATCCCAAAACATATCCAAAGTTGTGTGATCTTGAAAATAATCAACTAAAATGTGACACTATTGCACATACATGGATTAGCAAAACACAAAGACAAAACAAATACAGTAATGCTTTTAAGGAATGGAAATTCTCATATAATGCTGATGTTCCAGCTACTTTAAAGAAAAATTTGACCGCAGCCAATAACACTGAAGAATTACATATTAAATCATTTAGAAATTCTGTATCTAGATGATCTCATTCACCTACACAAAGATGTTCACTGCAGTACTGTTTATAATTGCCAATACATAAATAATCCAAATGTTAATTAAGATAAAAATGGGTAATCTGGGTACATCCATAAACTGAGATACTATGCAGTCAAAACAAATAACCTAGAAGTCATATCAGTATGGAAAATCTATAAAATATAATGTCAAACAAAAGTCAAGTTGACAAAGAATATACACTACCACAGCATTCCTATAAATTAAAAAAAAACCAAACCAAACAAACAAATCAACCAACCTAGGCTTTGTGATAAGTATATGGTAGGACGTTTCCAAGATGACTGCGAATGACCCCTGCCTCCTTGCATTTACCTGCGTCGTCCCCTCCCACATCATATCAGGGTCATTCTGTGTGACCAACAGAGTAGGGTAGAAGTGAGAACATGCTGCTTCCAAGATTAGGTGATGAAAACCTGGGGTTTCTATCCTGGGTGCTCTGTCATGCTCTCTTGGATCACTTGCTCAGGGTTGACCAGAGGACATCAGGCAGTCCTGGGGTGAGGTACAAATGGTGAGGGAAGCGTGGCTCCTGCCACCACGACAGCAAGCTTGGAAATAGCTCCTACAATGGACTTCAGACAGCTGCAGCCTCATAAGCAGTGGTGGGCCAGAGACACCTAGCTAAGCCCCTCATCAATTCCTGGCCCTCAGAAACTCCACAAGATGGCCAGGCATGGTGGCTGACGCCTGTAATCCCAGTACTTTGAGACGCCAAGGTGGGAGGATCGCTTGAGCCCAAGGGTTCAAGACCAGCCTGGGGAACATGCCGAAACCCCGTCTCTACAGAAAATACCAAAAATGTTCTGGGCATGGTGCCTGGACTACACATGCCTGTAGTCCCAGGTACTTGGGAGGCTGAGGTGGGAGGATTGCTTGAGCCTGGGAGAAGGTTGCACTGAGCCAAGATCATGCCACTGCACTCCAGCCTGGTAACAGAATGAGACCCTGTCTTTTAAAAACAAAACAAAAAACAAAGCCAGGCTGGGTGTGGTGGCACATGCTTGTAAACCTAGCACTTTGGGAGGCCATGGCAGGGCAGTCGATCACTTGAGCCTGGGAGTTGGAGACCAGCCTGGTCAACATGGCAAAACCCCCTCTACAGAAAACACAAAAAATTATCTGGGGCAGTGGTGCACACCTGTAGTCCCAGCTACTCAGGAGGTTAAGGTCAGAGGATCACCTGAACCAGGGAGGTTGAGGCTAAAGTGAGCCCTGATCATGCCATTGCACTATACTCTAGCCTGAGTGACAGAGCAAGACCCTGTCTCAAAAAAAAAAAAAAAAAAGAAAAGAAAAGAAAAGAAAGAAACTGCAGAATGTGATAGAGAGTTGTGACATTGGGGCTAAGTTGTTACATAGCAACAGCTAATTAATACAAGGTGTTCATGCCCATCTAGTAAAATTATAAGTATATAGTAATTCAGATAAGAATATACACTAATGTCAGGATAATGAGTAATGCTGGGGAAGGGGGTGGGCTGAGACTTTAGCTATACTTGGTTTTTTATGTCTAAGACAAATTTTAAAGAAAATATGACAAAATATTAAATCTAGATATTCCATAAATGCACATAGTATATGATTTTCTGTAACTTAAGGTTTTTTTGTTACTTAGACATTCCATAATGAAAAATAAACACTTAAAAAAAGAAAGGCAGTATAGCTATTCCATTTATTAGGGTTCTGTCGAGCACGGTCCGGGGCCTTTAATTGCAGCCCTGAGGAAAGTAATTACTTTAATGGCTAAACAATCCACATGGAAGAGGAAACATATATAAGCGTATTTTCCCACGGCTGGTAGAATCTAACATTTAAGTACCAAAACGTCAAATACATTTTTTTAAAAGGAAGAAAAAGTGTATATGAGAGCATCTAGCAAATAACTCACAGTGAAATTCAGGGAAAAAAGTTGCCCTGCCTAGAGACTCCTAATATTACACCCTTTCCAACAGTAATTCACTTAGTAAACAAATGGTTATTAGACTCTGCAGTATTAAGTGGACACTCTAACAGCTGTTGCCATAGTAGCCTTTACTTTAATGATATTTAACGAGAGAACAGAAATTGTGGGCAAAATTGCTTAAGTTCTTAGATTCCCTTGGTTAAAAAGAAGTAGAATAGTCACAGTTAGGAAATTCAGTGATATTTCAGTCCCGCTTGCTGCCACAGAGAAAGGTCTCACTCAATGATAACTGAACAGGCTGAAAGAGTTACTGCACACGCAAAACGTAAACATTTACTCATAGCAAAGATAAAAAACATGACAATGGGAAGGGTTCCAAGTCTGCTCACAAATGCAAAGTGAGATACATCGGCGTGGATATTTATGAAGACATGTCACGATGTGTCATATACATACACTGGTTGGGATGATTTTATTTATACAGAATATGAATTGGCCTAATAGTCCATGTGCAATCTTTCCTTTTAATATTTCTATTCTCTCAATTGTTACTTTACTTTTCTGAAACGCCACTCTGCTAAAGCCAGTTAATGAAGCATCCCTTATCTGCTTTATTTACCAGGAGTCCTGTTTTAAGACCATGTTTTAGGTATTAAAAAATAGTAACTGAAATCTCTCCTGACCAGAATAATTCAGCTGTGATCACTTGGCATTTGGCCTGTGCACCTCATCCCGGCAGCTCTACACCTGGATTGAGATCAGAGTGAAGGTCTGAGTTGAGGCTCCCAGGATGGCCCAGCACTCTCACCTGTCCTCCAACAGTATCTCATATCCATCAAATTCCTACAAAACCCCTTTTCCCTCAACCACATGGTAATCTTGTATTTCTGTATCGATTCCCAAGTTTTCTTCTATTCTACCTCCTTGTCATTGATTCTTGTTTGACCTCACACTTAATTTTTCTCTCCTTTCACATATCACCAGCACAACTTTGGAATTCCATTCTGCTCCTGACTTCAAATCCAATGTACCAATTTATTTATTTATTTATTTATTTCCAGTCCCTTGACATCTTATTTTGAAAGGCTGCAATTCTCCTGGCCACTTTTCTGATTCAGGCTCTTCCTCCACTTGTCTCCAGCAATTCAATCTCATGCCCACTTCTGTGATTTGCCTCTGCCTCGCAGGCTTGGACTGTCAGTCAGAAATACCTAATCCTCCCATTAAGCTGTGTGCGGTGTGAGCACTCCGTTTCAAGCAAACTGTGAAATCTGAAGACATTTTCAAGCTTATGGGGTTTATCTATCCTCTTGACTTTCTCGTGCTCTCCTGGTTTCTCTGAAGACCTGCCAACCCTCCAGCTAGACTGCAGAGTCATGCTGCGGCCCGCCCTCACACATCTTTCAAAGGAATCCCACGACAAACAGGGGCTCCTTGGTCTCATTATGTTAGGATTTCAAGAAATCGCAGTGATAGGTGTTCATTTCCTATTTCAAAATAAGGACAGCTTTAAGGACAAATTAATGTACACAGCTTACATGTGAAATTTCGTCCTTACTCATTTTGCTTTAACTGTCGAAAAATTGCAATTCAACTCCAAAGCTCTATGGCGTATTTTTACTCCTAGTGACTATCAGGACTCACACTCAGTAAGCATTTCCCATGTGCCAAGCACTGAAGTTTCACATGGATGATGTCACCTAATTCTCTCAGCAATCCCATGATCCATTTTATTGAGAAGATTTTGATCACTGGTGATAGGAATGAGTGAAACAATTCAATGGTAATTGATTTGCCATCAAGAACTGCTTCCAAGTCAGGACATTTACATAAAGGATCTTGTTGGGGATCCCTGTTCACTGCTAGAATCGCTCACCTGCACAGGGGCTCGCTGCGAAGCCCACCCTCTTCCGGGCTCTGTCGAAGATGACGTAGAAGCCCTCCATCACCGTGGCACCGATCACCAGTGCATTTGTGGAAGGGGAAATGCCGAATCGGTAACATTCATAATTCAGGCCGGCCCCCATCATGGGCTGAATGTAAAGCTGTTTGTCGGAGAGGAGAGAGCAAACAAGAAAAAGCACAAATCAGGCAACATCACAAAACTGCTGAGGTCACACTCATGCTCAGGACCCTCCCAGGTGCTGGGGGAAGTCACGGGGAAAGAAAGATGATCTCATTCCTGCCATCCAGGAGGAGAGAAGATCAAAAGCATGGTGATCAATATTATTGATCAGTGACAAAGCAGGTGACCCGTATGCATCCCCTGGAGTTCCACACAGGTGCACACGCCCAGAAGACGTCTGTCTGTCTGCTGACAAAAATAGTCAAACTCTGTAAAATATTTTGAAGGGATTTATTCTGAGCCAAGTGTGGATGACCATGGCCCCCCATGAGACAGCCTCAGCAGGTCCTGAAAACATGTGCCCAAGGTGGTTGGTTTTATACAATTTTGAGACACATGAGACATCAAACACTTTTAAGATGTACATTGGTTTGGTTCAGAAAGGCAGGACAAGTCAAAGTGGAGCTTCCAGGTTAGACGTAAATTTAAAAATTTTCTGGTTGATAATTGGTTAAGTTTATCTAACCTAGGATCAATAGAAAGGAAATGTTTGGACTAAGAGAAAGGATTGTGGAGACCAAAGTTTTATTGTGCAGAGGAAGCTTTCAGCTAATAGGCTGTGAAGAGAAGAGGTTGTGCAATGTGTCTTACAGAATTTAAAAGGGTGCCTTCATATACCCCATGAAATACTATGCAGCCATAAAAAAGGATGAGTTCATGTCCTTTGCAGGGACATGGATGAAGGTGAAAACCATCGTTCTCAGCAAACTAACACAGGAACAGAAAACCAAACACCACATGTTCTCACTCACAAGTGGGAGTTGAACAATGAGAACACATGGACATATGGTGGGGAACATCACACACTGGGGCCTGTTAGGGTGTGGGGGACTAGGGGAGGGATAACATTAGGAGAAATACCTAATGTAGGTGGCGGGTTGATGGGTACAACAAACCACCATGCCACATGTATACCTATGTAACAAACGTGCACATTCTGCATATGTACCCCAGAACTTAAAGTATTTATGTATTAAAAAAAAATAAAGGTTGCCTGACTCTTAGTTGATTATCTTCTGGATCTGGAAAGAATAAAAAAAGGGAAAAGGGGAGTCTCTGTAGAACGTAGATTTTTCTCACAAGAGACAACTCTGCAGGGCAATTTCAAAATATGAAATGGAAATCTATTTGGGGTTAAAATATTTTTATTTCTTTCCTTATTCGTTATGTGATGTCATGCCAGAGCCAGGCTAGAAAGCAGGCCATGTTATACAAGGTTAAATAAAACCCCTCTGGCAAGACTTTATGGTTTGTAGGGTGAACTCCCCAGGCCCCTTAGGTAGGAATTTGGGCAAGAGAATTAAAAAAAAAGTCAGAGTTTAGTCCTCATGTCCATCTGGCCATCTGGCTATCTGCCCAGAGGTTATCCGCTGAGGACTTCACATGGCTCAGATGCTGCCCTCTGCACCAGCACTATGGTGGTGAAGGACACACAGTCCCACCAGGCACTAACCACAGTGTCGGAAGTGCCACCATAGACCCCTCTATGGGTACTGCTGACCGCTAATCACTTCCTCTATGTGGAAACTTTCTTCACTTATACTCTAAGGGGCCACATTCTTCTTCTCCCTAACTCCCTGGCTGCTCCTTCTCAGGCACCTGTATTGGATTTCCCTCACCTTCCTCCCCTGCAAGCATCAGAGCACTCTCAGGTTCTGGCCTCCTCTCAATCTTCCCTCCTTGGGTGACCCATCTGGCCCTACCCCATGGCCCTAGGTCACCCCGTGATCTAGCCTGAGACTCCCAACTACTCCTCTCCAGCCCAGACCTGGGCCACCATTGCCACACGCTTGTGTCTGCCTGCCTGTCCACCTCTCAATCGGCATCTCCTGTGTAACCTGAACACTGGCTGTTCCCCCCAAATCAGACCTCTCCCACAGTTCTCTGTCTCAGTAAATTCATGATTCATCCAGTTACTCAGGCCCTAAAGTGCTGGGCCAGTCCTTTTCTCTCTTACCCTACCTGGAGACTGTAACTAGACTCCTGTGAGCCTTCCCGTGAAACTGAAGCGGAATCTAATCACTCCCTCGCCCGACTCAGGCCAAGTCCTCACTGTCCTCGTCCTTCGGGATCCACTGCAATCTCTCCTAGCTGGCCCAGAGCCCATCGTGCACCCCTCGGGCAGAGAGTTTTAAAAGTAGGCAGCCTGATGGAGGCAGGATGATTTCCTCAGTGAAAAGAGGAAGGAGTAATCAACACCAGAGAGAAGACAGCATCTGTGGGTCACAAGTTCTGCCGTTCAGGAGGGCCAGTTCCCACAGGTGCTGTGCAGTGTTAAATGTAGTCGAGTCGGCCACTGATATTCCTGGAGCCAAGAGTATATGGGGAAATGGGTCAAACCTTAACACAATCAGTGAGCAAATCAGTATCCTATCAGCAGTAACAATTTCTTGGCTTTTGAATAGCAAATAATTCAAATGCAGGCAATTAGAGAGTATAGCAGCTGAGTATGACAAAATGCCACTTGTTTGGAGAAAAGCAAGAGTGCAAAATGAGTAAGCAAATGAACCTTCCTGTGAGTAATGATTAGCCTTAAAGGGCAGAGGTAGGAAGAAAGACTTGGGGGAAAAAGGCAGACACACTAATACACAAGAGTCCTGGGCCTTCTGGCTGTAGAGGGTTTGAGGGACTGCGAGGGGTGATTTTGGAGGGAGCAGAAAAGACTGAGAAGAGACCAGCAGGGAGGGGCTGCCATGTGACCACTCTGAAGAGCAGGTCAAGTAGGGACAAAGCACAAGCTATGAAGAAACCTCAGAGCTCCCCTGTGGGCTGGCGGCTGCTGTTTTTTAACAGGCCACATAGGATTCAGCCCATGGGCTGTTGGAAAATAGTGTTGAGTATGGACAAAGTTTAAAGTAATTGCTTTGGACTTGACTCTTTTCTGCAGGGGCAATCGTTTGCCCACTTATCAGGGCTCGTGTTTGAGAGGTCCCAGGTAAGGCCCCATCCTAAACCTCTGAGGACAAGAACGCTGTCGGTTTCCCTTGGTGTTAGAAAGGCTGCTGGGCAGAGCCTTTCTGCTGGGAAACGTGGAGCGTGTGGGGTCTCACCAGGTGATCTTTCCCAGCTTCCTATGGGAGTCCCCTCCCAGAAAGCGAATGGAAAGCAAATGGAACATGATGCTGAGTAAGAAAATCAGGAAAACAGCAGGCAAAGTGGATTTTTAAAAATAAAAAATGGGAACATGTCGAAGTCAACCAAAAAATATCTACCATTATAAGTGAAAGCAATAATGAATTCTTAGGCAGAGATGTGCAAATGAGATGAAATGCTCCCAAACCTCTCTCATTCTGCTCCTGAGCTTGCCCAGTGCTGGGTCCTAAAAGCTATTGAGGAAGTCAAGCAACCCTTCCCAGCTGTGACCCGCCTGGACTGAGAGGTTTCCCCCAAATGCCTGCCTTCTCCTCCTGCTTCTTATGAGTACTTGGTGCCTGATATTTATTTAGCAGCACACACCTGGGTCCTCAAGCTGGGTTTTGACATTATTACACACCACACTGATGAAATAATGTCCACATTTTGTCGCTGTACCAGCCAAAATGTAATCATCAAGATAACATGATTTTTTTTTTTTTTTGAGATGGAGTCTCATGCTGTCATCCAGGCTGGAGTGCAGTGGCACGATCTCAGCTCACTGCAACCTCTGCCTCCCAGGTTCAAGCGATTCTCCTGCCTCAGCCTCCCAGGTAGCTGAGTCCACATCACCAAGCCCAATTAATTTTTTGTATTTTTAGTAGAGATGGGGTTTCACCGTGTTTCCCAGGCTAGTCTCAAACTCCTGACCTTGTGATTCACCCTCCTCGGCCTCCCAAAGTGCTGGGATTACAGGCGTGAGCCATGGCGCCGGGCCAAGAGCACATGATATTAAAGATGCTGAAAACATAGCATTGTAGCATCACTTAGTGCAGTGCCATTCACCCAAGGATACTGCATTCTTCTGAAAATGTCTTTGGTAGGTATTATTGTTTCTCCTTTATAGTTAAAGAGACACAGGCAGGGCTAAATGCTTTGCTCAAAGTTACGGCGTGAGGGAAGGGCAGTGCTGAGCGTGTAACTCAAGCCTCTCCTGAGAGCGTGGTGTCTCCTGTTGGCCTGAATTTCTCCTGAAGCTTTCAATCCTTTCCCCAAGATCTCTCCTTTTCTGGAAAGCACATCCCTACAATGTAAAGATGAAAATGGGAAAAGGCAGTAGTATCATTTACTTTTCTTCTCCTGAAATTACGCCTCCTTCCTTGTCCCTGCAGTCCAACTCCCTTTATCTCAAAGTCATCAAATTGCAACAAAGACACATTGATGTGTCCATTCCACAAACAGTTCTGATGCACTTTCCCTCCACTGCCTGGTGGAGTTGGGGAAGGAAGGACGATCTTTTACACCCCACAGTTCTCATCTTCAAGGAATTTATAATTAATTGAAAACGAAATAGAAGTTAAGAAAAGAGAAGTCAAATGAAAAAGGCAACGGCATAAAACGTACCCTAAAGATAAGATTCCACGCCAGATGAGCAGACCAGAAAATATGCGTGCTGAGTGGGAGGTGCAACCTCACAAATGGGTTATTCTGCTCGGCATAGTTTCAACAAAAGCTGGGTTGTTTGAGTTGAGTCTTAAAGGATGGGAAGAATCTGGATATACGGGTGGAGTACGGAAGGGAGGGCATTTCAGGCAGGGGGGTTGGTGGAACAGAGCTTAGGAGAGAGGCCTTGAGGGTCAGTGGCCACCCGGCAGAGGGTCGGGGTACAGCAAAAACACTGGGGAACTAGGAGGGGTCTGGTGGGAGGCCATGGACAGCGATGCCAGGAGCGAGCCCTGAGCATTTAAATTGTGGGGACGCACTGCTTACTCACAGCAGGGGAGACTCGGGTGAAAGTGGTGGTCTAGGAAGATTAATCTGATGACAGTTTCAAAAAGAAGAGAGGGTCGGGGCTTGGGAGCACAGCAGTACTCTGTAGGTTACAGAGGTGCTGGTGACAGCCACACGCGTGAGGGCTCAGTAACGGAGGGGAGGAGGAAGAGGTGAGAAATGGAACTGAGGAAGACAGACGTGGTCCATTTCATTAGACGTGTAGGATAAACAGGGAGTCAGTGGGTACTGGGAGTGTAGGAAAAAAATGACGTCTTCATCTTGGACATTCCAGTTTTTTTTTCTTTTTTTTTTGAGATGGAGTCTCGCTCTGTCGCCCAGGCTGGAGTGCAGTGGTGTGATCTCAGCTCACTGCAAGCTCCGCCTCCTGGGTTTACGCCATTCTCCTGCCTCAGCCTCCTGAGTAGCTGGGACTACAGGCGCCCGCCACCTCGCCCTGCTAGTTTTTTGTACTTTTTAGTAGAGATGGGGTTTCACTGTGTTAGCCAGGATGGTCTCAATTTCCTGACCTCGTGATCTGCCCGTCTCAGCCTCCCAAAGTGCTGGGATTACAGGCTTGAGCCACTGCGCCCGGCCCTTTTTTTTTTTTAATCATTATTATTTTGTCATCACTGTCACTCTTCCAGAAAGAATGAAAATATGAAATTGATGATCAAAAGAAAGAGCATAAAAGATTTAGAGCTCACATGTTTTTTAAACTAAAGGTTTGGGTATCAAATTACCATGATATTTGGATTCTCTTGGCTACACTGGAAACAGTTCTATAACAATTTTATTTTTAAATGTAAAGTTTTTGTTTGTTGTTGTTTTTAAGATGGAGTCTCACTCTGTCACCAGGCTGGAGTGCAGTGGTGTGATCTTGGCTCACTGAAACCTCCGCCTCCCAGGTTCAAGCGATTCTCCTGCCTCAGCCTCCCGAGTAGCTGGGATTACAGGCATGCACCATCATGCCCGGCTAATTTTTGTATTTTTAGTAGAGACGGAGTTTTGCCGTGTTGGCCAGGCTGGTCTCAAACTCCTGACCTCAGGTGATTTGCCTGCCTCGGCCTCCCAAAGTGCTGGGATTACAGGCATGAGCCACCATACCCAGCCTAGTTTTATTCTTTATACGTAAACAGGAAAAATATATAAGGGTGATGTGGTAGGTGTGATGAAAATGTCTCCAGGTCTTCCCTTTTCCTTGTAGCCACACCCTTGGCAATGTGGCTCCGTGGCTCCTCCCAGTGCGAGGGGCGTCTCTTCCCCCATCCTCGGAATCTGGGCTGGCCTTGGGCTTGTTTGGGTAGCACCATGGAAGAGACGATGGTCAGTCTTGGCTGATACTTCAGGAGCCCCTGTGTGGTTCTTTTCTGTCTCCCAGGTCCCTGTTACCACATGTGACTCAGGCGCTAGATGGAGAGAAACGCATGACTCCGTTCCTCCATCCACCTCACCACCAGATATGTGAGTGAGACCATCCTACACCAGCCTGGGCAGAGGCCAATCGGGGCCCAGCCAACCACCAGCTGAGCAGAGACACGTGAGTGAGCCCAGCCAAGGAACACCGCCCTGCCTGGACTCAGGGACAGTAATGTGTGGCTGTCTTTTGTAGCATCATTGTGGTGACAGAGATCTAATACAGGTGTGACATCTAATACACGTGTCATGCATGGAGTGCTTTCACTTTTGCGTAATAAAAAGAGCGAAGCACAAATCCAAGTTTGTACCTGAGGCAGGATTGTGATACGGAATGACCTGCTGGAGTTCTCGTCTCTCAGGTAGATGGAGATTTTAGGGAAGTAAGACCAAGGTGTTTCCGAATTCGTCCAGCACGCCAGCTGGGACCCAGTCCAGAAGCCATCAGAGAATTCTGGAATCTAGACAAAACAAGATCACATGAGAAACCATGACTAGTCTGGCACGTCAACAGGAAACAGCTCCAGGCTCTCCTAGCCACCTCGCCAGATGCCCACAGGGATAAACAATGTTTAATTTGGACAGAACAGCAGGGACATTAGTCTCCTGGAAGAGTGACGGTGATGACAAAATAATAATGATTAAAATTGTCAAGACACACAAAGTACCTACTAGTGCTAGTATTAGGCACCCTTATAAGCCCTTTGCAGCAATAATTACTTCAATTCTCAACCAGTGTGATAGCATTATCCTCGAAACTTTACAGATGAGGCAACCAAAGCACTAGAGGTGAAGTAACTTGCCCAAGGTCACATAGCAGAGGGCAGAGGCCCTTTAGAAGACAGAAATCCTAATTGTGGCCCCCAAGGCCTTTCTGCTTATCACTTGCCCTCTGAATTCCATAAGCCCAGCAAGTTGCCTCCTGGTGCAGAGCCTAGTGTGGGCTCTCTGCTCTTTTGGGACATTTTTCTCCTCCTCCAGATCTCAGGTCAGATACCGCTTCATCCAGGAAGCCTTCCCTGGCTTCCTCTTGTAACACGAGAACACCACCATGCCCCTCTCCTTCCTGGCCTTTCTCCTTGTGGCAGTTAACAATTTACACTGATTGGCGTGATACACTTCGGTCTCCTGCACTAGAATCCAAGTCTTCTCAGGACAGAGATCTGCGGCCCGCCCCTGCTGCAGCCCTAACACCTTGCACACAGAAGAGACCTGGGAAATATTTGGGGGAAAAAAAATAAATGGCACCCAGGGACAAAAAGGTGGCCGGCAACACAGGACATCCACCTGCGCCTCTCACCAGGGAACTGGAAGGAAGGTAGCATCTGCCCATATCCACTAGTTGCTGAGTTGGCAAGTTAACGACACCTGCGTGACTTCACAGGCAGGATCCTGAGCAGTCCGCCCTGGGCCTGCCGGCTGCTGAGGAAGGACTGTGTCTGACGTGCCTATTGTAGCACATCCAGGGCAGGGTCCCGTGTGGGGCAGAGCAGGAGGAGGCCATGGCTGGAAGGAAGAAAGGCGAGAGCTGGACTGGAGGGCCAAGCAGGCGCTGGGAGGTGTGAGGTAGGGGTGCTGCAGAAGATGCTGCCGTGGAACCCGCCTGCTGGACACGGCTGCTGCTGCAGACAGACAGGAATGGAAGGTGAGGAGGGGAGGGAACCAGGGGCGCCACTGTGAAGGAATACCATGACCGCATTTCATCTGCAGAGGGCTGAGCTCTGTGGCACATTGATGTGGTTCATGTGTCCAAGTGTACATGTGAGGCTCATGAGTCCTGAGTTCCCTGAGCTCCAGGGGATGGGCCTGGGCTAGACACACCTTCCAGAGGCACTGACAGGTGAGCAGGAGGTATTGATGAGGCTAAGGATGGGATCACATAGGAGGATGTACAGCAAGAACAGGGGTCTCAGGCCAGAAAAAGAGGCTCCACGAGGAGGGGCACAGGGACAGGGCGAGTCCAAGGAGGAGGGAGAAGGGTCTTCTAGAAGCCAAAGGGATAGTTAGAACAGAAGATGGGAAAATGGGACAGAACACCGCCAAGACCAGAACTGAAAAAACACACGGGTGCCCCTGGATGCATCTGCTGATGCCCACACACTGAATATCGGGGGTGGCACGTGCTACGTAACCATGCGCACTGCAGACACCTGCCCTCCTCACCAGGGCATGCAGGTGGGGAGAAAGCTCCCTGTGGTTGGCTCCTCCATCCCACGTTCTCCACTCAGACCATTTGTGAATGATCTGTGTAATTTCTAATGCTGGCATTAATGTATCTTTTCTTTGTAAAAAAGTGGAGTCTACTAAAGATGCACGTCACAGGGAGAGCCCCTTCTCAGACACGCTCATGAGAGGTGGGATGGTCATTTTGCTGGATTCGGCGAAGAGCTTCGGTGGCCGGGTCTGCAGCAGGGCATGGGGCACAGAGCTCAGATGACAGTGCCACGGCCAGCTCCAACAGCAGGTGGACAATGAGGCTCCAAGGGGCCCAGTAACTGGCCTGGGTAGCTCACCTCAGATTTGGGTGTGGGACTTACTGTCCCCAGAGCCATTGTCCTTAACCAAAAGTCTGGCAGCCTCCCCGGGGGTGAAGCCACGTGTCCTTGGGGGCCAGTTTCGACCCTCAGATCACACAGTTTTAAAGTCAGAAGTCATCTTAAAGTGGGTATTATTTTGCGTCTGGATTTCCTCCTTGGAGAAGCACTGGGCCTGAGCCACGTGGGCACTGCAGCAGGGTCCGAACAAGCCCAGGTCTCCATGCCTCTGCATGGGCTGCACCTTGCACAATACTCCCCGCTCCAGGTTCATTTCTAAATACAGAACTCCAAACCCTTAATTTCTAGAATCCCATCTGAACAATCCATGCCAGGAGACAGAGCTCCACACTTCTATTGTCTTTCACTCTCTGAAGCCAGCCCTCCCCTTAACCAGAAGGAAACTCAAGCCAAGAGGGTTGGCTTACCCGGACCTGGTAGATAAGAAAAATAAACACAACTTTGGTCCAGAGACAGTAAGACAGACACACAATGCACCCTTGTTATGCTTTCCCTGCCCAAGACAAACAACCTTCCCATGTTTCTCCCTCCTGACGCAGGGACCGAATGAAATCAGAGGATAATTTTAGACAAGGCAAACAAATGTTGTCTCCTTCCTTCCACCTCGTGGTTTTCGGCTCAGCACATGCCACAATGAGCTTGGGAGTGTGAGCGCCCCGCAGCCCCGCCACCCCGCCTCTCACGGCATAGGCTTGCTGGATTTTCACACTGCGCTTCAAACACGTCCTTGGGATGGTGGTCAGACTTTTCCATTCAGGATATGAAGTTGGAAGGTACTCACGTTAATCCTGCTGAGGGCATTTTTAATATTTAAGAAATGAGGGTATCACTCCTTATTTTAAGTAGGGTCTGATTTTCAGCAAGCGTTCTAAAGTTAAGGCACTAAAAATGTTACCTGCCACTTTCGCTGATTCAGCAGATAGTGGGAAAGATGGAGACTCTGCCGTGGCTTCAGCTGCAGCTGTGCCAGGCGGCTGGTCGCCCTGAGACCTGCTGCTTCAAAAAGGGCCCATGTCCTTTCCTGCTTATTCCCCCTGTGTCGTTTCATCAGCGAGCCGCTCTTCCCGAAGCAGTCACAGGTGTTTGAAGTCTGGGTTCAGGACAACCCAAAGCCCTCTCCTGCTTGTCATGTTTCTGCTATGAGCTGTAACAAGGCAACCACCATACGTGCTCCTATCGGCCACTCTTTGAACTCAGTCATCACAGCAGAGTAGCAGGACAATCAGCCCCACGCCAGGGCCGCAGTGTTTGTGCAGGAAACACTTTCTGACGATCTCACAAGGAAGGCCCTGAGTGGACAGATGCTATGAGAACACTCAGGAAGCCAAAAGTCACATTCATCTCTCATCTAAACAAATAGCAGCAGAGCTGTGGTTGCATGTTAAATGGAAGCTCCAAGTGTCTACTCAACACCAAGCATTTGACCCAAACCTCACAACCACCCCTCAGTTGAGAATACGGAGGCTCTCAGAGGGCACAAAACCCCTCCCCAGACATCCAGCTAGAAGTGGCAAAAACTAGACTAAATTTAATTCTATTTCATCCCCAAAGCTGTGCTGTATCCAATGTTTATTGCCCTGAACTGACTGGAAAGTTGGGGTCACACCAGGAATACCATCAGCCAGGTCCCAAAAAGGCATGTTGTCCACAATAGTAATTTTAATTGTATTTCAGAGCATGGCCATAAACTAATGATTAGATTGGCTGATTGATCTTTGTCTTCCATGAAAAAACGATATTCTTCTACACAAACAGAAGTTAAGATAACCAGTGCGGGGATGAAGGCCAAAAAGGAGTAAAATTTTTGGTTTATATGTTTTGTTTTAAAGGCTATAAATGTAACAGTTATATTACCAAGTATTGTTTTCACAGATTAAAAAAATACTATACCAACAGAACTATTATTTGAAATACTAGAGGGCACTGCACATTCAGATCCAAGTCCTCTGAGGTTCACGAAGGTATTATTTGCTAACATCAAAGAAGCAGATTGTGAAATTAACAAGTAATAGTTGAAACAAAACCCTTCAAAATATAAAGATTTTAAACACATATAAAATATATTTACATATTACACCTATACGATTACATATAAAATATGCAAATACACAATATGAAAATTTAAAACGCATGGTGCAATAGTTCAGAGACACTCAGAACACGCAGTGCTGCTCAGCAGGTGATTGTAACTCAGCGACTCGGGGACCCGTGAGTGTCCCGAGGACTCACCAGAGATGCGCGGGCCACAGCTTCCACCACTGCATCGAACACCTTCTGGGGCAGGCGCAGCAGCGTGGTACCACTGTCCACGATGGCCTTGTCCGCGTTATACTTGAACCAGGAGAGAAAGGGGAAGGTGCATGAGTGACGGTGGCGCTCCCCGCCCCGCGTGGCTCCAGCCACCATCACCGTCTGTCTGTTACACACAAATCCAGGCAGCCACGCCACTCGTCAAGGACTGTAGTTCATTCATATTCTCAGAACTGGGGAACCAGGTGTCTCCAGCCCAACATGCTCACTTCGGAGACAAGGAAATGGGCCCAGGAAAGGGAGGGGATGTGGTCCAAATTAGCAAATCAATAGCCCTCCTTGGGATGGCTTTTGGGGAGCTCTTTCCTTACTCAGAGCTGCCCAACTTCCTTCACTGAGGACCCCCACTCCTGCCTCAGGGCAGAGGGAAGACCTATTTGTCTTTTGAGGCTGAAATATATTAAAAGCCACTTGTATAAACAGTACACAAATCAACTCTCTATGACCTCACTAATGAAGAGAAGAAGGGGGGACAATTTTTCAACAGACATCCCATATTTGCATTGGTAACAACCAGAGCCCAGAGCCACACTGTATCATAGACTGAGACACACATAGGCACTGCCAGCCCTGTCCCCACCTGCAATATTCTTCATGTGGCAGAGGGAAGAGAATGGAGGCCAGTGGCCAACACCAGATGAGCCACCCCAACCTCTACAGGCACAGCTGCGTGGGCAAGTCTACCCAGGGATGGAATGAGTCCTGGGCAACTTGATCCTCCTGCCTTAAGGCAAATCCATGAGTCACACAACCAATACACCACTCGGGTCAAAAGGAAATAAGGGAGGAGGGGTTCAGAATTTTAAGAAAATGAAATATAACAATGTATTAGTATTCTTCACAAATATTAAATTATTTTCAGTGTAAAAACAAACAATTTAAAATATAGCTTAGCTTATTCATAACATTTTCATGTTTTTAATAGGTAAGTAAAGTGAATATTTAAAAGTCCTGTAGCAAACTGAAATGTTGCACTAAGATGTCCTGGGTTTTGTTGTTTGTTCTTTAGAGGGGTGGGTGCATATGGGGTGGGCAGGAAAGAACCTAGAATCTAAGAATCGCATCTCCAAATATAGGCTTTTCCTCTCTAATACACATACACACACACACACAGACACACACACACACACACACACACACACAGGTTTTGTCTTTTGTTTTACATTCGGACATTTGATTCTACCACTAGGTTCTTAGCTGACAAATAAGTGCCTCTTGTCAATAAACACAGATTTGCAATGGAAGGGACAATCATTTTTATAATCTTTAGTTTCTCAGAGGTGTCAGGCCTCTGAGCCCAAGCTACGCCATTGCCATCGTATCCCCTGTGACCTGCATGTATATGTCCAGATGGCCCGAAGCAAGTGAAGAATCACAAAAGAAGTAAAAATGGCAGTTCCTGCCTTAACTGATGACATTCCACCACAAAAGAAGTGAAAATGGCCTGTTCCTGCCTTAACTGATGACGTTACCTCGTGAAATTCCTTCTCCTGGCACATCCTGGCTCAACAGCTCCCCCACTGAGCACCTTGTGACCACCACCCAGGCCAGCCAGAGAAAAACCCCCTTTGATAGTAATTTTCCACTACCTACCCAAATCTTATAAAATGGCCCCACCCCTATCTCCCTTCACTGACTCTCTTTTCGGACTCAGCCCGCCTGCACCCAGGTGAAATAAAAGCCTTGTTGCTCACACAAAGCCTGTTTGGTGGTCTCTTCACACGGACGTGCGTGACAAGAGGTACCTGCATATATGAGAATCGATGTTGGCATGTGACGGGTAATATGAACAGAAGTGCTAACAGGTTAGAATGTAATGAAATGCCCATGGTTTTTATAAAGCATTCTAAAAGTGCTATAGAAGACTGAGGCTCTCGTAAGGCATAATCATAATGTCATAATGTGTTACGAACAAGCCAAAACGCAGTGAGAGGGCATGAACATGGATCCTAAGAGGTTTGGTGTCAGAGCTCTGCATGTGGCCACTTTAGCACTACCGAGCCACACACATCTTTACAGCATGACTGTTTTTTAGGGAGAATTGGGTACTCCGGGGGCCAGGCTAGCTGTGAATGGAGGATAAAAAGCTGATGATCATTTTTTGTTTCATTTTGCTTATTTTTCGTCCTTCCCTGTCCTACACTGATGAAAAATCTGCTTATTTCAACCTCTTAAACTGAGCTTAGGGACCATCAGTCCAAGATGAATGTATGGTGGAAGGTGTAGCTCAGATAGTCCTCTTCACTCACCATTTAATGCTAATTTTGTCCTATGAAGCTAAGTGATTGGGAGGATGCAATATTTGTGGTGGGGAGGGAGGACAATTAATTGATTTCAACTTACTGTACAGCAAGGCCCTGCATCTTTTCATGTAATTAGCCTTTATCTTACAAGGTAATGTACCTTCTATTGGCATCTATGGGTTCCAGCTGGCATATTTAAGTGACCCAGGCACACACAGAAAGACACAACAGAGACCATAGCATGAATACCTCTCTGCAGTCCAGATTAAGGCTTTGGCCTCCAATTTCCAGTTTCAGAATTTCTATCTGGTAGTACCACTCCTCCTTAATAGGGGTATACCAGATGTCTCCTTTATACAAACTTGGTTCAATTCCACCCAGGACCTGGGACAGAAAATATTTACAGGTATAAGAGAAAAAATACACAGACATATCAACAGGTTACACAGAGAAGCATGCACTTGTAAAGAGAAACTTGACTGCAATGAGGGCTTCTACTTTGTGATGATGTCATGAAACAAGTATCAATGCTTAAAAAATAAACAAGGAGCTGGACGCGGTGGCTCATGCCTGTAATCCCAGCACTTTGGGAGGCTGAGGCGGGCAGATCATGAAGTCAGGAGTTCGAGAACAGCCTGGCTGGCATGGTGAAACCCCGTCTCTACTAAAATTACAAAAATTAGCTGGGCATGGTAGCAGGCACCTGTAGTCCCAGCTACTCAGGAGGCTGAGGCAGGAGAATCGCTTGAACCAGGAGGCGGAGCTTGCAGTGAGCTGAGATCGCGCCACTGCACTCCAGCCTAGGCACTACAGCAAGACTCCATCTCAAAAACAGTAATAATAATAAAATAAATAAATAAATAAAATAAAATAAACATGGAATGTTATGGGTCCATGTCTGCAAAAGTCAGATGGTATTAGGCCCTCGTCTAATCAAGATGCTTTGGGGGTTTCTTTTATCCAAAGAAAGTATATACAAGTTTAGCTTTACAATATTGAGATTTTTCCTTCAAAGAAATGCAGTAAGACAGTTAACCACACTGACTATTATTTAGTTTCTTGCAGGTCAGACAACAGAAGAACAAGCGCTTCCCTGATCAAAGCTTCATTTTGCAAAATCATAAAACATTTCCTCATAAATCCTATGCTATCCTCTGCCTGGAAATGGTAGCAAATGAAAGTAGCTGAGGACCAGGGACGCAGAGCCTGCCCCTCATAGTCAGACAGCAATGGGACTGGCAGCACCCCCTTCTAGTGCATTCTTCCTGTCTCCTACTACTTTTGACGTCTGGGTGCAGGGCGCTGGAGGAAAGCTCAGGCTCCAGCACCTCCGTAGTGCTGACGGCCTTGGTTCTGTTTCAGTAGCAAACACTTGTGCTGTGGTACGCGTGTGCCTGTGTATGTGTTGAGAGAGAGAGAGAAAGGATCTACGAGGGTCCCTGTTTCCCTGCCAAATTTATGAACTCTCCTTTGCCCCCCTACCCAAAGTCAGGTCCACTCACCACACCCCCCACCGCTCCTCACTTGCCCCTCCCCCACCCACAGAAAGCAGTGCCCTTCCAAGGATGGTAAAGAAAAGTTTTAAAGGAATCTGGAGAAGCAATGAGAATCATCCTTCCAGATGGCAGGATGACATAAAGGATTGTCTAATTTTAGCCATTTTTAAAAAGATCGACAACAAGGATGATGAAAGTTTTACAGTACCGACGCACACCTACATGCCTAATATTTCTGCTCAGGTGTTTAATAAAACAGAAAAAAGAGCCCATCCATCTGTGATTTTTCGCCCCTTTAAGACTGAAAGATACCCACAAGACTACCTCCGTTGGTCCCAGATCCAGCAACGGGCAACCCGGCTCCACACATCTGCATGGAGAAAACGTTGGGGATGTTTGCTTGTGTCACCAGGGAGTCAAAGAAGGTCTCCAGGGAACTTGATGGCTGCGGGAGGGCGACAGAGAGGGACACCTGCTTAGGACTCACAGTGTAGACATGGGTCACCCAATGTAGATGCCACGCACCACAGACAACATTCCTGGTGTTTATTCCTGGTGTTTTTCATGGTTCAACAATACACCAGCTTGTGATCGGGTCTAGGAATTCAGAAAGCCCCAACAGAGCTTCCCACTGGTTGGTATTTTTCCTTTGGGTACGGCTCTGTTGTACAAATAAGATCGTATTTCTGGAAGCCATTCGACGCAGGCACATCTATCATCATGACTGCCTTGTGAGGGGGTGTGAGAAGCCGTGGAACTGGGTTACCGTGGCAGGTGGTGGATCCTAATCTTAGGCATTTGAGAGTAAGGAGAGAAGAGTTTCTCTAGGAGCTGCCATGGCTGCAGACATTTTTGTTCGCCTGTCAGCCGCAGCTGTCCACCATGCAAATGAGAGGTGGTTGACCAGGGAGCACAGTATCTCCCGGACCCCAGAGCCTGGGGAGAGGCTTAGCTCTGCCAGATGAACTCTGGCGGGAAAGAAGCAGGAAAGGCATAAATCTATACTCCAGAAGCATAAAAGGCTTCTTATTCCCTGAGGCCAGATTTCAGAAGCCCTCATGTGCTCTGTGTCTCCCTCACATCCAGCAAGACATACAGAGGATGCCCTCATTTCTCCAGAGAGACTCAAAGGGAAGTGGGGAGGTCTGCAAACAGCTGTGAGGTGTGGGTGTGCCAGGGCTGCTGGCGGTCATGGAGGAAGTCAGTGATAGACCCGAGTTTAGATTTTGGCTTTGACAACTGGGAGACACTGGAGTTGGTGACCCTGAGTTGTTAGTTTTTGATGAAAACGTAATTAACTATAGTAGCGCAGATGCTATACGCATCCCCTGGGTGCCTATGGTCATTCACAGGAATGATTATTTACTATCTGTGAAAATTAAAACTGTGATTCCAGAGGGAGTGAGAGGGGGACTCCACCATGGAACAGACACAGATCTTCCCATTGGTTTAATCCATTTGTGTTTGACCTCCTACTTGTTTCATCTCAGCTTCTGCAGAATTCCGAGGCAGAATCCAGCACAATTTCCACATGCAATCTCTGTCAGAACACTTGTGGGTGTTTGGGTCAACCAGTGAGACAAAATCACCTCTTGGGATAACAGGGTGGGCCTGGGGGTGCCCCCAGCTGGTGTTCTACCTACCTTCTCGAGAGGCAGTAAAGCAAAGCAAACACGAAGGGGAGACCGGCTCTGCCACTTGCCAGCCAAGTGACTTGTTCCTTTGCTTCCTTCCCTGTGAAACGGGGATAAGGGCAGCTACCTGGAGCCGCTCTGGGGCTTAAATGGGCCAATACTTATAAAGCACTTAGAACTGCACCTGGCACACAGTGAAGGAGCTGCAATCATTGTGTCAAGTCCTTCACTAGGGCTGTGCCTTGGGATTCCCCTAGGAACTTAAAAGCATCCAGGTGCCCACAACTAACCCTGAGAGAACCTGATTCAGTGGGGCCCAGGAAGCTGCAGTTTTAGAAGCCCCGTAGGTGTTCCTGATACAGCCTTGACAGGAAGCCCCTGGAATGGACCAGGGGCCACCTCACAACCTGAGCACTGCAGAGTGCTCAGCGCACCTGCCTCAGAGACGCCTGGGGCAGTCCGCCCAGCCCACCCTGCAGGCCCTGTTCCCAGCCACACTCTGCTTCCTATGAGTCCTATTGTTTCTCCTCAAACCCTGGAAATGGGAAGCCAATTGTCAGTAATCTTGGAATTTCACAAATGAAAAGATAAAATGTCTCACAGTGAGTCGGGAGGTCTGAGCAAACCCCGAAGGGGTCTGTTCTCACTGAAGCTTTACATATTATTAATTCCAGGCAATTTAGGTTTCCTCTATCATCTTTGGAACAATTCACATAAAACCAGTCATACACATCTTTCATTTCCAAACAGTCACATACAGATAAAACATTTTGAAAATGTGTTTAGGAATGCAAGTTTCCATCCATCCGCAATTCCCTATGATACAGAGGACAAAAGGGTTCATGAGCCAGCCCTGGCTCTGCAGACAGTGAGAAGCTCCATGTTCTGACTTCAAAGGGGCAACAGCTCACTGACCCTCAATCCCCACATCTTGAAAATGAGGAGAATAAGGCCAGGCGCGGTGGCTCATGCCATAATCCCAACACCTTGAGAGGCTGACGTGAATGGATCACTTGAGCCCAGGAGTTTGAGACCAGCCTGGCCAACATAGTGAAACCTCGTCTCTACCAAAAATACAAAAGGCGTTAGCCAGGCATGGTGGCGTGTGCCTGCGGTCCCAGCTACTTGGGAGGCTGAGGTGCAAGAATCACTTGAACCCGGGAGCCAGAGGTTGCAGTGAGCTGAGATTACACTGCTGCACTCCAGCCTGGGAAATAGAGTGAGACTCTCTCTCAAAAAAATAAAAAAAGTAAAAAGAAAAAGAAAAAAATAAAACGGGGAGAATATGACCTTACAAAGTATGCCTCACAGGGGAGTCATGAGCACTGAGTGACCCACATCTTATCTTGGATCTTCTCAGCCTAGGGCCTAATAGGCTCTCAGTAATTGTGATTCTGTCTCCTTGTGGGGGCCAAGGGTTATAAAATTCCTCTTGCTCTCACCACCCCATCCCCATCTGCTCATAAACTTGAGCTGGAACTATGGGAAGATTATCCTCCTGGGACAGTGGGGGCGTGTTGCTCTAGCAGTCACTTCTGTTTCCTTCCACATGTAGCTCTGGTTCCAAGCCTAATGCTAAGCAAGGTGAGGCCAGGCCGTGGTGCCCAGTTACGGGGCCAGGAGAGCTGGTCTCCTTCTGCGGTTCTCGATGCATGCAAACCCGTGTGGACTCCAGGAGCCCAGCACACACCCCCGGTGTCTACTCCCGCCTGCCTTCGGCAATGCCTCCAGGTGGAAATTCCCCGGCCTGCCTCCCTCCTCCTGCATACAGACATTATTTCCTTTGGGTAGGCCCCAAGTACAAATATTTGGGGAACATCCAATTCTGTCTTTCCCCATTTGGGGAGGCTCTGGTGATGGCGAGAGCAGGGCTCCACAATTCCTCCGGGGCTCCCCACCACTGGGAAGGGCTGGCTATCCCCAGGGCATGCCTTCAGGCTGCCCATATTCCCTGCTGGGTGTTGGGAGTCTCCTTGGAGGTGTCCCCTGCAGAGCCAGGAAAACAGGCCACATCCCAGTCTGGCTGAGGGCACCATCCCCTGCCTGCGTTCCAGGGCTGCCCGCAGGCTCCTGCTTCACGCAAACGTATGAATTTAATAAATGTGTTTTCTTTTAATCCTACCTTAGTAAAACCTCCTAAACACACATCACGATCTACATGATTCAAATTCTGTTAACATTTTAAACTATAAAACGAAAATAAAACAAAAAGTTAATGCTATTAGTCTGTCTTACAGGAAGGTTCCAAGAATCATGCTGTTTACCTTCAATTTAAAAAATGCTTGGAAATATAATAGTGTGAATACTGGTCTGTTTCCACCACATGGTTCTCACTGTCTCCAAGGATAGCTCAAGACTCGTGTGTCAGCCCTTTAATGATTTTCAGAATCTCATCCTATTATTTGATTTCCTTAAATCCATGGATTAGCCTTACCTTGGCAAGTGTGGCATAAGCTAGGCCAAGTATTCCATTCCATTTAATCCCAGGCAAAAAGAAATTCTCTGATTCAAAAATAGTGGCAATGTTGACAAGAAAAGAACTATTGAAGCCTTTGGGGATGGTGACGAGGTCTTCCCCAACGAAGCCCGTCCAGCTTCCTTGTGTGTACTTCACAGTGACGTCAAAGCCCTTGGAGCGGTATGTGCTAGACCTGGAGAAAGAAAAGAAAAGCCTATTGTATTCATTTTATTTTATTATTTTATTTTATTTATTTATTTATTTATTTATTTATGAGATGGAGTCTTGCTGTGTCCTCCAGGCTGAAGTGCAGTGGTGCGATCTCTGCTCACTGCAACCTCCGCCTCCCGGGTTCAAGCAATTCTCCTGCCTCAGCCTCCTGAGTAGCTGGGAATACAGGCACATATCACCATGCCCAGCTAATTTTTGTAATTTTAGTAGAGACGGGGTTTCACCCTGTTGGCCAGGATGGTCTCGATCTCTTGACCTCGTGATCTGCCTGCCTTGGCCTCCCATAAGTGCTAGATTACAGGCGTGAGCCACTACGCCTGGCTAAGCCCATTGTATTCTCTTACGTATCCATGTTCCTGAGCCACAAAGATAAGGTTGCCATGTCCAAGACAGCTATCCTAAACACAGAAAGTCTACTGTAAGCCTGTAAGCCATTCTTCATCATGAACAGCATCAATGTTCACAAAGCGACAGCTTCCCCCAAAAACATAATCGCTAATATTTGGTAGCAGTGTTGTCCATGTTATGTGGAAGGGACGCACTGGTGTAAACATGTGGCTTTTGAGTTTAATTTTTCCCTATACCCAAGTTAAACCCTATAAGTCAGGTGCTTTGCTTGGCCACTGTAGCCTTTGAAGGACACAACCCAATCTGGGCACCTGCCTGGCCCTCCGGCTTTGCAGGGCTGCTGCACTGCTGCTCTGTGACATGGGTAGGTGCTGGCACCCTGGAGGGAGGCTCCACCAGCCTGCGCCAGCAGCGGCTGGGGTTCATGTTCACACATACAACTCATGTGACAAATAATGACCAAGTCCTACCTGCTGAAACCCACGTCCTTCATGTCACAGGCCCTTCTCAAGGTTCTCCCCCAATGTCCCAAAGCTGATTATACTCACACCAAAATATGGGCAGTGACGCTAATGGCATGCCAGAACATGAATCACTGTGACATGACCCTGAGCCTGACACTCACGTGGCCCTGGGGGTGAGAGCTACTGACGCAGAACAACACTCACAAGATCAGAGAAAAGTCCTGCCTGCTCAGTTTAGGCTGCAGTGAGGGGAGACAATGCATGCGGGAATGGTGGTTACGGGGAATGAGAGCCACCCGGGGAACAAAGCAGGCAAGGGGACCTCAAGTGACCCAGCAGTCGGAGAGAACTCTTGGATTCGGCCATGTTTGCATGAGACCTGAATGAAGACAGTGAGACCTGGGGCTCTCTGGGGGCAGCGCATTGTGGAGATAGGACAGCAGGTGTCGAGGCCCTGGGGTGTCCCACCCTGCAAGGTCATTCCTACGCCCATTTGAGTTTGAAAACTGCTGGAATATAGGACGGAACCTGAGAAACATCTCTAGGCAAATGTCTGTGAACTCAAACCACGCTCCTCCTAAGAAAATGATCACCATCCTAAGCTAAATATCAAATCACTCTGAAGCGATCCTGCTCACCTGCAGGCTTGATTTCACTCTGTTTTAATAATCAGTCTGCGAACATTAACACATGTTAATAAGTCTTTGTCGTGGGATTACATGAACTAGCGCAGTCTTGCTTAAGGTCAGTAAAGAAGTTCGGAGATGACATGATCATTCATTCATTCATTCATTCATTCATTTATTATTTCTTTTAAAGATAAGGTCTTGCTCTGTCATCCAGGCTGGAGTGCCATAGCACAATCATGGCTCACTGCAGCCTTGAACTCTTGGACTCAGGAGATCCTCCCGCCTCTGCCTATTGAGTAACTGGCACTAGAGGTGCACACCAACAAGCCCGGCTAATATTTTTCTTTCTTTTTTTGCAGAGATGAGGTCTCATTATGTTGCCCAAGTTGGTCTCAAACTCCTGGGCTCAAGCAATCCTCCTGCCTTAGCCTCCCAAAGTGCTGGGATTCCAGGCATGAGCCACCATATCTGGCCTTTAATTCATTAATTCATTCTTGGTATATCTAATAAGTGTTAAAAATATTAACTATCTTTAATTCAGTAACTGCACTTCTGAGACTCTGACCCTAAGGAGACACCCAGGAAGCAGACAGAGGTTCATGTGCCAAGATGGTCATGATGTTTTATGCATAACAGCAAACAGCTGGAAACCATCCAAATGCTCAGTAACAAGGAAACAGTTCAGTAAATTACAGCATATCCATATGATGCACTATTATGTGCCAAAGAAAAAAATGTTTCTTTTTCTAAGAAATTTTAAATGATGTAGAGAAAAAGTTAAAAGAAAAATACGTCAAAGAGACAGAATCTCCTTCAAAACTATTTATTACACTCAAATATTAACAGTGGCTAGCTGAGGTGGCAGGATTGGGGGTGGGGGGACTCCTATTCTTGTGGTTAGGTACCTCCACATTTTTTGCATATATAAGTTTTATAATCAGGAAAAATGTGATTTTACGAAGGTCTAGCAAACAGATTTTGGGGAAACAGCTGATTGTAACTTCAAAATGGGGTACAGAATCTAAAGATGGTTTGATTTTAACATTTGCCTACTGTCTTGGTTCACTCCACCATGATCATAAAGTATAAGAGGCATTCAGTGAATGTTTTCTGTGCGCAAATCTCCCAACAATGGGCAGGCACAGAAACAGAAAAGTGACCACAAAGGGACCTTAGAGCACTAAGGGATCCATCAGAAATTACCCAGGTAACGTGCAGTCAGGTCTTTGAAAAAGGGTATCTGAAGATTGGTGGAATGCCAAGCTTTAGTGCCAATATAAATTCAGATGTGCCTGCCACATGAGGGGATGCACACGTTTATGTTGAATAGCAATAAAAATACTAAATTATTCAGTCCATTTTGACAATTTGGGTTCATTCCTCAAGTTCAGAAATACACTAAGACTATCTTGAAATGCTTGGAGAATACGATCTAGTACAGAGGTTGGCAATTTTTTTCCATAAAGAAACAAATAATAGATGTTTTAGGTTTGTAGGCCATAGGATCTCTGTGATAACTACCCAGCTCTCAAACGTAATGTGGAAGCGGCCACAATGTGTAAGTAAACTTGCATGGCTGTGTTCTGATAAAACTTTATTTCCTAAAACAGGCAGCAGGTCATATTTGGCTCATGGGCTAGCCTTTGCCAACCCCTGGTGTATTAGTCCGTTTTTACACTGCTGATAAACGCATACCCAAGACTGGGTGGGTAATTTATAAAGGAAAAGAAGTTAAATGGGCTCACAATTCTATGTGGCTGGGGAGTCCTCACAATCATGGTAGAAGGTGAAAGGCATGTCTTACATGGCGAAGGGAAGAGAGAAATGAAAGCCAACTGAAAGGGGTTTCCCCTTATCAAACCATCAGATCTTGTGAGACTTATTCACTACCATGAGACAGCGTATGGGCAAAGACCACCCCCTTGATTCAATTATCTCCCACGGGGTCCTTCCCACAATACATGATAATTATGGGAGCTACAATTCAAGATGAGATTTGAGTGGGGTCACAGCCAAACCATACCTCCCGGCATGGTAGAATAACTGTTTGTTGTTGTTGTTGTTGTTGTTGAGATGGAGTCTCACTATGTCACCCAGGCTGGAGTGCAATGGTGCCATCTTGGCTCACTGCAACCTCCGCCCCCTGGATTCAAGCAATTCTCCTGCCCCAGCCTCCCTAATAGCTGGGATTACAGGCACATGCCACTATGCCCAACTAATTTTTGTATTTTTAGTAGATATAAGGTTTCACCATGTTGGTCAGGCTGGTCTCAAACTCCTGAACTCAGGTGATCCACCTGCTTCAGCCTCCCACAGTGCTGGGATTACAGGTGTGAGGCACCTTGCCTGGCCCTGGTAGAGTAATTGTATCTTTCCTAAACAGTTTAAAGTGCTATGACTTCCTTTTGAAAAATTTAGTTTTACTCTGTCCAGGCTATAGAAAACTCCATAGAATTTGTAGTGTTAGTAAGAACCTGAACCAGCCGGCATATCTATTTAGTATATCTTCTCTAGTTTCCTGCCCAGGCTGTTGGTCCCCTTAGAGGGAGTACTCTGGATATTTTGGTGTCATTTCCAGAGAGACAAGAGGCAGCTGGAGTTATACTGCCTGGGTTCAAATATGAGTTCAATACTTTATTAGCTGTGTGACCCAGGGCCAAGTTATTTACTCTCTTTATGCCTCAGTTTCCTCAACTAAAAAATGGCGATAATATAATACCATCCCTCATGAAGTTAATTACACAGATTAAAAGAGTTAATACTGTAAAGCATGTAGAACAAAAGCTTGGAACACAGGAGATATGCCACAAAATAGCTGCTATTATTATAATTATCTAATCATTTGCTACCTTTCTTCAGTCTATGAGTTATTATTAGAAAATTCAAGTCTGTTAGGCCATGTTTGCATTGCTATAAAGGAACACTTAAGGCTGAATAATTCATAAAGAAAAGAGGTATGATTTTAGCTTATGGTTCTGCAGGCTGTGCACAAAGCATGGTGCTGGCATCTGCTTCTGGTGAGGCCTCAGGAAGCTTCCACTCAAGGTAGAGGGCAAAGGCAGACACAGTACATCACATGGTGAGAGCTGGGGCAAGAGAGAGAGGAGGAGGTGCGCGGCTCCTTTAAACAACCAGCTCTCATGTGAACTAAAGGAGCGAGAACTCACTCATTGCCTTGATGAGGGCAACAAGTCATTCATGAGGCATCTGCCCCCTTGACCCAAACGCCTCCCCTGAGGCCCCAGGTCCAACACTGAGAATCATATTTCAACGTGAGATTTGCACCCAAAGCAAATCATCAGGATTTTCTGTTTGTTTGTTTGTTTGTTTCTGGAAAAAGCTCCTATAGAGCTACTCTTACGGAATCTAATGCTGCCTCATTCTAAAGTCCAAACACCCCATGGAAAGGAGCCAATGTGTGTGGGGTGACTTGGCTAAGGAGGTCAAGGAGAGGTGGTGACGCTTCAAGCTCTTGTGCAACCGGTGTCTAAAAGGCAAGAGTTCCTCTCTGCCCTGCACTA